AAAACTTAATACAAGAATTCCTAGGGATTTTTTTTTGCTCAACATATTTTAGAGTTATCTCAAGTGCCTTGTGATGAGGATCTTCACTGACGAATGGAAGCATCGCGGGGCAGATTTTTATATTCGTGTCACTCGACGACAATACAATATCTAAAATTCTTTCATTGCAATTTTTTACATCATTAAACTGCTTCAAATCTGCCGAAGAGAGAAAGTTGATGAAGTGTTCACTTTTCTTGTCAGTGGCGCCTGATGGATTTAGACCAAAGAGTTTATAGTTGTTATCTTTTTCCCAGCTCAATTTTGGGAGATTGTAGTCTCCAATTATAGCAAACAGATGCTGAGGATTATTATTGATGATATTTTCTACTTGCTCCAAGTGCAACTTCAAATCATCTGCATTTACAGTCGGGGGGACGTAAACGCAACATAAATATAACTTCTTACCCCCATCCAGCGCCACTGATATCCATATCTCTTCAATCCTGCCATTGCTACTCCACTGTGAAACACTATTGCACATTAAATTATTATGAACGGCTATCATAACCCCTCCTCCGTGACATTTTCCACTAGACATCAAATTACGATCCTTGCGAAACACTTGGTATGATGGTGGAAACAGCTCTGAGTTCAGGATGTCCTCATCAAGCCACGTTTCGGTTATACAAATAATTTGGAATTCGGGAGATGTAGCAGCTCTCAAGAACTGATTAGTTTTAGTGTTTAGTCCTCTGGTATTTTGATAAAATATATTTAGATCACTGAATGTTATTTGATACCGTTACTTCTGTGATACAAAAAAAAATATTGTGAATTTTTAGGAAGCGGATTGAAGTCTTCTAAGGGTATCTTCATTTGTTACAAGGATTGCTCGAGAGCCTTCAGATTTCTTCAGGAAAACTTTTCCATCTTTGGTCCAGCAGTACCGGTAATTATGGGCTTTCTTGAATTCCCGGGAGAGTTTGAACAACAACTTGTAATAATGAGATAGGTGATCATTGACGTAGACGTCATTGTTTTCAGAGAAACCCAAGGATCCTGAGGATAGCCTGGTTTTATGGACTTTCAGGGCATTCATGAAATAACTTTTTCGTGAACGATTTGCGAACTTCACAATTATATTCTTTGGAGTCTGTTTCTCTTTGTTGTTAGGGTGTGACTGTATTCGGTGACATTCAATAATATCTGCATCTTGCAATGGATACTTAATCTCATCAGCGATTTTTTTGATAATTTGGAGAAGATTTCCATTTCTATGACACTGACACGTGTTTTGTGATATAGTAATTTTCCTAACAAGTGCGCAAAATGTAACTTTTCCGCACGCAAATACAGTTAGGCGAACGACGCGGAGCGAATAAGTTTTTGCGTGTGGAAAAGACAATTGGCACATGTGTTAGGAACAACGTTTTTCCTACGAGCTTCATATCAGATAACAACGAAAATGAAAAAAATTCAACTTGAATTACAATTCATTGAATAATTTCTAGTTAAACTTGATAGCACTAGCTAAACAACAAACAATTACATATCAATAAAATATAATGATAGAAAACTAAATCATTTATTCCAAATATTTGTATTGAGGTGAAATACAAATATCGGGAAGAACGGTTGAAAAGTAAAAGGGATAACGGCTTCTTATAGTGCATACAATAGGCTACAGCAGAGATTATAAGTGTATAATCTCTGGCTACAGCAACCAAAATGAATATAAATGTTCCATACCAGTGAGATTATTGGGTAGTTTTACTTATCCGCACGCCGTGCGGAAAATTATTACTTTTCGCACGCACTAGTGCGGAAAAGTAAAGTTATCAAGTTTCTGGGGAGTATACTGACATTAGAATATGAATTAATGATGAATGTTTCCTTATGTAAACTTTTGGGATTTTTCCACACGGTAGTTGAAAAAATAGTGTACCTAACAAGTGCAAAAAAGCACCGCTTTCCGCATTTGTTGAGTAAACCACAATATCACGCCAAAAATGGACGTTCTTGCGAGAATTTGAGTGTCATTAACTTTGTTTTTCATACAGGGTGGTCTGGTATATAATAAAAATAACAAAACAGTGTATTGTAATCGTTGAAATAATAAAAAAGTTCATAAACATATATACTTTCAAACGCGTCATTTTCGAGATATAGAGTGTTGAAAATACGAGTCTGTATATTGTTTTTTGTTGAAAAGTTCGAAACAGTTTGAGATAAATTTACAAAATTCCTCACATCTACTAATTTTTCGACGCTCTATATAACATGAGATAAAAATTATTTCAAAAAGTAATTCAGTGGGTGAATCTGGAACACTGTAGAAAAGTTGGCGATCTGGCTCTATTTTACAGATATTTTCATGGACTGAAATTTTCTTCTGAAATATCAACGATTGTTCCTTCCTTGGCAGTCCCCGCGAGATTAACCCGTCGAGTTGAGGCTTCGCACCCCTTCGTGGTCTCTTTGGAGACCTGAAGAACATCTTTTTCCAAAGACTCGTTCTTCCAACGAACAGCGAGGCAACGGAGGTGTTCCCCAAGGCATATCACCTCCAGAAATTCGAGATGAACACCAATTCCTACCTTATTTCCTTTGGTTCTCCCGATGTTCTCTGAACATTACAGGATATCGTGGGAATCAGAGCATTAAAAAAAGAAGAAGCACCCAAATTTTTTATGTGCTTTTCTCTCTCAATTCGTAGTACAAAATATGGGCCTCTGTGCAAGGAAGCTCACTTGTGAGTTTTTGATGCGTTTCTCCATTTTCTAGTTGAATTGGTTCAGAAATATCCTAATATCTTCAGTTCGATAATAGTATTTGATTGTAAATAAAACAAGAGTGCTATGCTCACTGTTTCATCTAAAAGAGCGTAAAAAGTTTATTATGGCCACCATGTATAATGAATATCATAAATAATGTTTTCATGCTGTCTCTGTTGAATTTTCAGGTCACTGTTGTATTTATCTCGATTCGAATTATTTTCCTGAATATTTGTGTATGCAGGGTGTTTAAAAAAAATAGGATAGAGAATCACGAGTGCGTATTCCTAGCAGAAGAAAAAAGATCCCTACAATCATTTTCTGCAGGATACTTGGTGTAACTGCTGAAACACATTAGGTTTAATAACTGTTGAATTCTGTGATATCATGAACAAGCACATCATACAGGGTGGAAACTTTGACTGGAATAAATGCGGTAGCGGCGAGATGAATGATTTTCTTGAAATTTCACAAGACACGTCAACGTTTTAATGTATTTACACCTACATTTTGCGAGCAGTTTGGAAAATATGATTATTCAGGGGTATCTGAAATCAGCCTCAACATGTTTTGTTTTTTTCAGATGCAACCCTATGGCTTCTGACCTCTCATTGGAAAGCTGGTTGAAAAAGGAACCCACTATACTAATCGAATTTAAGTCTGCAGTACGATCATGGTTGGCATAAGATTAGAATATAGTCTCGAAGTTTAATATATTTTCAACTTATTTTCATAGAAATTTCGATTCTTCTGTTATAGTACCCAATATAAGACAGTCTCATACCAATTAAAAATAAAACTTCGTTTAGAACTGTATATTCGGCATACTAATTGAATTTCTTTTTGCGGCTTTCCAGAAACACTGGCATACAATAGCAGATAGCAGTCGTGGCATAAATATGCTATGAGTACTTCAACAAACATTTTGAGCAATTGTTACGTTGAAACTAAATTGAATTTGAAAATTTCATTTTGATTTCATCTTACCCCCAAACGAATCAAGAACTGGAATTTGATCAGTACGCTGGATTCTTCTTTCCACCAGCTTTCCAAAGAGGGATGGCAGGCCATAATATTGCATCCGAAAAAAAAAACCTGCTGAGGGTATTTTCAGCAACCCCTGAAGGGAGAAGGGATATATTCTCGATATAGCTGCAGAACATCTCTTTTCAATGACTTGTTCAGCCGACGAACAGCGAGGCTCTGGAACACATTGCCAAGGGAGGTGTTTCCCGAGGCATATAACCTCCAGAAATTTAAGAAGAACAACAATTCCTACCTTATTTCCCTTGGTTCTCACGATGTTCTCTGACCATTACAGGATATATCCTTTTTCGTGGGAACCAGAACATAAAAAAAATTTAGGTGATTACATTAAAACGTTGAAGTTTGTCGGAAATTTTCAGAAAGAACATTAACCTTCCTGCTAGCCAATTTATTTCTGTTAAAATCTCCACACTATATAATTCCGCAAGATTCTGAACCCCTTTTTCCATTCACAATCACAACACGGAAACAATATCAGTACAAAAGTATTCCTGCATAGGATCATCTGGAATTATGCAAGACACATCCATGCACAATTGTTATAGAAGAATTACTAAGTCGTACCACGCCTTCGTCACTACATTCAGCGACAGTTATACATATTGTGTTTCTGAGGTTTCACCCTGTGTAGTTAACTAATCGTCTTCCATATGCCTCGTATAACGCGCTCGTGATTTTCTACAGTGTATTTTTGGAACACCCTGTATACGAATATCGAAAAAAGGTCGGAATATATAGAGAAAAGTCTGCATCCAGAGATCAAATTAAATAAACACGACAGTGGCATTTCTATATAATGCTTTCATAGATTTTGGGCAATTTCATTATTTCCAAATTGTTAATACTGTTTGTCCCTGCGACTTTTATGAAGCTTAACAATTATAAACAATCTCGAATTTTAACCAATGGAAATATATCGTGTTTTGAACTTGATTCAACTCATTAATGGATTTTCATGTTTCCATCAAGAAACTTCAGATGTGATAACTACATTAGCTGAAAAAGAGATTTTATTCATTAATTCTTTGGGATATTTGTGAATGGATTTATAATATTGAAAGACAAACACTATATTATAGATATGTGACTAGGGTTCACTAACCGTGTACCACACAACACGTTTCTCACATACTACAACCTTATATTTTTTCTAAACAAAAGTTCAAATATATAAAGACTACAAATTCAGTTCCGTTCATGTCATTTTATTCTTGTTTTAATACAAGGTAAGGCTGTTCGATTTTCCATATAAATTTATTTCCAATATCGCAATATTAGGTAGATAGGTACTTGATATCATTTCAGTTGCACAAATTGGCTGTACTATACTTTTAATAGCAACTTTATATAAACAGACTGGTGGAATTTTTTAATAGAACATTCTGAAAACAATAAATAAATAGTAATCAGCTACCAATGCTAGACCATTACCTACTTTCCTCAAATGCTTGATATAATTACTATTTAAGTTAATTTATACTTTGAAACAAGTTGATGTCTTGAGATCCGTGTCATCTGCTGACTTTAGGAACTTTATTCGAAATTCGACTTTATTCGAAATTTCCCATTCCCATTTAGTATTCGTGAATGAATTTCAACTTTATATACAAAATGCGATAGAGTAATGATACTTTTCCACTTCCATACCTATTAGTAAACATTGTTTAACGTACACCCCATCTACAGTTTGGATACTTTAAATGGAATAAATTTGTAAGCGAGGAGGGGAATATTTTTTTCTAGAAATTCTTGGTATACGTCAACGATTCAATGTATTTACCTACTTTTTGCAAGCCATATCAAGAATATATACCTACAGGGGTAGCTGAAACTACCCCAACATGATTTTTTTCAAATATAACCCTATGGCTTGTGACCCTTCATTGGAAAGCTGGTGGAAAGAAGACTCCAGCCCACTAGTCAAATGTTAGTTTTTCATACTTTTGAAGGTTGCACAAAATTCGAATATAATTTTCAAAATCAATTCTATTTTCATCATATCAATAGCTCAAAATGTGTGTTGAATAATGGATGGCAATTTTTCGCTACAACTGCTATCTGCTATTGTAAAAAATAAATTTAGTTTTTTTGCCGTATTCACAGTTCGAAGCGAGGTGTTATTGCAAGCAAGTGGAAATGCCCTAAATCACTGTCACTAAAAGTCGAAATTTTGATGAAAATACGTTGAAAATATATTGAACTTCTGAATTATATTTTGATTTTATGCCACTCCTAAACGTACTGCAAACTGAAATATGAACGGTACGCTGGATTCCTCTTTCAACCACCTTCCCAATGAGGAGTTGCAAGCCATAGGGTTGCGTTTGAAAAAGTCATGTTGGCGTTGGTTCTAGCTACCCTGAAGGGATATATTTTCCATATTGCTCGCCAGATGTAGTTGATACTTAAACGTTGACGTGTCTCGTGAATTTTCGGAAAAATTATTCACTCCCCCAGTAGCGAATTCATTTCAGTTAAATTCTCCACCCTGTATGAGTAAATCACTCTTCACGCCCAATTTGTGCGCTATGATGTCTTGTATTTCGATCAACTTAGCCTTGAACCACTCAAATGTTGACATGGATTCATATGCATTTATCATTTTCTGGTATTTTCAGTTCAAATCAACACGTCATGCATATTCTGAAATAAATAGTTCATCGAAAAAATCATCAATATGGTAAATAAAATACTGTTGAAGTCACTGATAATAATAATTAATATTTCCAAATTAATTTGTTACACCACTAGTTTAATTTCCTGAATTTAATATGTATGGGTTTACTATAAATTCTTAATCACTTAGAGTTGAAACAAACACACCACCCGGTATATAGGAGTAGTAGAAAAAGTATACCTACACGCACGCAATTTTTCCATTCGTGCATAATATTCTGTTTAAAACACTTAATACTCAATATACTATTTTGAACGCTCATTGATATCAGAATTTTCTCTGCATTATCAGGTTTGTTTATCCAGATCAGGAATCCATGTTATAAAAACTTCTAGTACTCGAAATGCCTAATATACAGGGTGGATCACGGTCGATGGTACCTTAAACGTTTATGGAGAACAGGACATCAGAGTAATTCTGAACATTTGGTTACTCAAGTAGTTGCTTTTGGTCTATGGATCTGAAATATTTTCAGCAAAGCAGCGTTGCCGCTTATATCAGAAAGTAGTAGCAACTTTGATATTTAGAATGGAACATCGTGTATTCTATTGCATTTTTAGATTCTCCTTGAAGAGTTGATTTCATCTATTAGTCACAATTGGGGTCTAGCTGAAATGATTACAGAGATATAGGATGTCCAAAATCGAGATTATTCAATTTCAGGATCATTTGTGTCGAAACTATTTATTATCAGCCGAACGGCTTTCATGTCTCAATATTAACTTCCTATTGACCATCTCCTGGCATTGATTTGGAACAAATACAGGGTGGTTCAAGATTCAGAATTCTGACCACCCTGAACCTTATCCAATTGAATGTCAGTAGATAGTGAATAAAAAGTGAAGATAGGGACATAAATCAGCTCTCCAGGAAGGATCTAAAAGTGCCATGAAATACAGGGTGTTCCAGTCGAAACATCAAAATTGCTACTACTTTCTGGTATAACCGGCAACGCAGCATTGCTGAAAATACTTTGGATTCTCAGAATGATCCTATGTCTCGTTCTCCGTACAATCGACCGTGACTCACCCTGTATATACTTAGGGTAATTTGCCCCAACGTGGAAGTAACTTTTCCAACTCATTAGCTGAGTTATACCTTGTCATGAATATACACACATCATTAATTAGTTAATCATCATTCAACCGGTACTGCAAGTTCTGAATTCCATATACCAGATTATGGTCGTCCATTGATTTGGGAGAATATGTTTACTAATCTTTACAGGAACATATATCTTCTCAGATTTCGCTATCTTGGTATCACACCTGGTATTCAATCAATTCTTTGAAACAGGTTGTCCTAGTCTTAATAGGACACACCTCACAAGCGCAGAAACCAAAACCTGTTCCGTATAATTCCTGAGAAAATTCTATAAACCATCTTAATTCCATGTCTGCTGTGAGTTTTGTATGATAAGATATCTGAATTACTTCTGTAATAGGTTCATTCTTGCTGTGATTTCATCTGCAGCTATAGGTACATATACATTTGCATGAATCATTTTCCGAATCCCGAATAATTTCAATTTGAATTTCATCATATCAGGGAATAAGATTACCTTATTGCAAGATCTGAAATATTATATAGATTAATTATTTCTTGATCGCCCATGTCAGCTTGTAGGAGCATTCATATAATGTTTCATTATCATTTTCAGAAAAATGATCTTCAAGGGGATTCTGGTAGCAGCCTTTGCATTAATATGTGTGGAGGCCCAGAACACCTGCGAGCTGATCGAATGGAACGGAGGACATTTCGATTGGCCCAATGATGCCACCAAATCCATCTACAAGTCATCAGGACGCTACTGCCCCAAGAACATCATCGCCACGAGGGCCCAGATCTTCAAAGACGATATCTTCGTTGCCCTCCCCAGATACAAACCCGGTGTACCAGTGACCTTAGCCAGAATCGGCCTGAAACAGAGGGGCTGCGAACCCGTGCTGCAACCATTCCCGTGCTGGGCGTCCCAAGAAGAGTCAGACTGCAATGCTCTCATATCTGTCGTCGATATGTACTTGGATGAGAACAACATTCTCTGGGTCCTCGACACAGGAGTAGTCAACTCTCTGGAATGCCCAATTCGTAGAGCTCCACCAAAAGTAGTAGGAATCAATGTCCTGACAGGAAAGAAAGTCAAGACCTTGGACCTGTGCGGATTAGTAGCCCAAGCTTCCAGGCTTCAATACGTCGTTGTTGAATATGCTCCATGTGGTAAACCCTTCGTCTATGTCAGTGACGCAGCAACCCGCTCTATCTTGGTCTTCGATGTTGCTGGAAACAAAGGATACAGAGTAGTGTTGCCGAAGGTAGTCGCCGGATGCAGACGAGATGTACTCTACATCGCCCTCATCCACAAGACCGGTAACAACAACAACCACTTGGTTATCACCTACTTGTCTGGAGCCAGGATCTTCCAGATCCGTACTGAATTCCTCAGGGCTGGTTGTGCTGCTGGTAAAATCCAAGATCTTGGAAAGAAAGATGGAAAGATCGTGATCTTGGGAACTGACTTGGGATCCGCTATTTTCTTCAGATACGAAGGCAAACGCGAGGTTTACAGATGGGAAGTAGGAACCTGCTTCAGCGGATACGAACTAGTCTACAAATCTCCAGAGTGCTACTTGGCCACTCAAGCTATCCCAGATGTGAGCAGAAGGAGGATTCGAGTACTCGAGAGCAACTTCCCCGATTACATCCAAGGCACTGTTGGATGTGGTGCATCACAAAGAGTAGCACTCATGATCAGCTGTATCAACCAACCAACCTGTTGAATCTTGTGATATAAGCATTATTATATAATGTTTTTAGTCTTAGCTAGTTGTAGATAATAAATTTTTGATTTATTTATTTTTGGTTTCATTCATAACTTTGAAATAAGATATCTCATCACAGAATTATCCGAATGATTTCAATTGAAAGCAATATAAACTGGAGCAACGAGATTCATTTGATTGGTCACAAGAATCAACAAGATCAATGTATTTTCTTTGTAATTTCAATCACAGATTTCAGATCTAGTATATCTATTTTGTATTTTGTCCTTCAGATGTAGTACTCAATGGGGACACCCTATAAAATATAAGTCATCATAACTTGAATCTCTTCAGTGATTTCAAGAAAGGTCAAATCCAGAAGTTGGTTGACATGCCTTCTTTTTTTGTGATGACCTAAAATAAGTAGATGCGCCAATTGAGGAACAAACACCGCGTCTACTAGGTGGATAATACCCCTCGATGAAATGGCAAGAGCCACCACGTCAATTTTTTTTATCGCTTGGAGCGCACGAAAGGGAATCCCTATAATGTTCAGAGAACATCGTGCGTTCCTAGGGAGGATAGTGACAGGAGGTAGGTATTGGAATTTTTATTGAACTTCTGGAGATTATATGTTGTTGGGAATACTTCCACAGGCAATGAATTCCAGAGCCCAGCCGTTCTATGGATGAAAGAGTCTTGATAAAGTGCTGTTCGACATCTTTCTAGGTTGACAACGAAAGGATGTGCTGACTGGGCTTGTCTAGTTCGTCTGATTGATATTGCTAGTGGAGAGATAATAGCAGAGATTTCCGAGGAACATTTCCCGTGGAAGTATCGATAGAAAAGTGGAAGGTCGCAGACCTTTCTACGGTGATCCAATGATGTCAAAGAGTGAGTGAGTGTGGCGTCACCCACCAGGTGAATGGCTCTTCTCTGGATGGAATCTAAGAGCATCAGCGTATGTTTTGGTGCTGAACCCCATATGTAGAAACAGTATTCTAGAACAGGCCGTATCTGCGCTTTGTAGATCATGAGAAGCTGTTGAGGTGTAAAGTAGCTTTTCGCACGGAACAAGAATCCAAGTTTTTGTGAAGCAGCTTTTGCGATGGATCTGACATGATTATCCCATGAAAGAGTGTTGCTGATGGAGATACCGAGCATAGATATGGTGGGGATGGTGGAGCCATACATTACAATATCGGGCATACTGAGTTCCGCCTTTCTAGAAGAAATACAGGCTTGAGTTTTGGTGGCGTTGAATTCGACTAGGTTGTTGGTTCCCCAGGCTGTGATTTCAGCAAGATCTCCATTGACAGCATTGACCTGCCTGCGACGTGAGTTCTCAGTTTCCTGGGAAGAAATGGGAATTCTGGAAGAGAACGCGGTATGGAGGGTACTTTCATTTGCAAAGCTGTGGATGGGGCAAGTTGTTACTCCCAACAGATCATTGATATGTAGGAGGAATGATGTTGGTGCCAAAATTGATCCTTGTGGAACGCCGGAATTGATGCCAATGGTATCAGACGATACACCGTCCACCACCACGTGAAGCGATCTGCCTGAAAGAAAACTCGATAAGAGATGGCATAGCTGAGGTGGTAAGCCGTATGATGGTTGTTTGTGGAGGAGTCCTTCGTGCCAAACACGGTCTAATGCTTTCGATATGTCCAACGTGACAGCTAGAGATTCCCCGTGTTTTTCTTATAAAGCTTGCCATAAATGGGTGACGTAGGCAAGTACATCTCCAGTAGATCTTCGGTGGCGGAAGCCGTATTGTCTATGAATTCGTTCACCATTCGCAACTGTACAAGTACTGGTCTTTCCTATCCACAACAGGTCCCAAGTCCTTGATAACTTCCATTTCCTTACCCGCTAAAATTGTATGTGATGCGCCACTGTTCAAAAATCCAAGCAGTGATTAATTCTCAAATGAGGGCGGTCGTCAGGCACATCAAGATCTAATATAAAATTTTTGACAACTCGAATTTTTTGAACCAAAATTTCAATTTGAACTAAGTCCAGTCGGCCTACTGAGAGTCTTCATGACCGTCCGTTTTTCTGCCTGGAACAATCAGGACAGTCTATTACTGTTTTTGTCTCCTCTGTCACCAGGCTGATTACAACGATAGTAAATATTATTCCTTGGCTCCTGATTTTCCCTTATCTCATTGTGAGGAGAATACCTTCATAATATGCAAGTTCTGACTTTCCTCTGGTTAGGGCTGCGAAATTTTCTATGGACTGTTTTCTCACATTTAATCCTCTATATAGAATGAGAAGATTAATAACCGAGGTGATATCTGTAAGACCTAGTTGACTTTGGTAATAGGGTGCAATATTCTGAAGTAGAATTTTCTATTCATCTGCCTCAGAGAGAGGACACGTCAATCTCTTGAAGTCTGCTGAGTAGATATCTAAACGTTTTAGTCAAACAGCCAAACGAGTCAGTATTGAAGAAAGAGTCTTTGCTATAAATTCCGTTAATTCCAAACGTTTCGCCAACACCTCCTCACTATAGCTGCCTCTGGAATATTGTCGATACGTCCCAATACCTACATGTGTTGATTCACAGTGGTATTTCTGAAATGTACCACTGGAGAGAGAATTATCAAAACAAGACTCCCCCGATATATTTTCTCATTGAAAAAAAAATGATGTATCGCTGAATGAGTAGAATATAGGTATATGCAGGGCTTGTATTTGAAAACTCACCACCTTGCATATTTTCTGATCTGCGATGATAACAATTTCCAGGAATATCGTACGATTTGGATATCAAGGGGGGAAGAAAAATATCAGTATCGGTCGAATGTTATGTTCATTCTCTTCACTCCCAGACACCCCTATTTTGGAATTCCAAATGGCTCCCCCTACTTCGAGATATACATCGTGTCCCAGCTAAAATGTCTCCCCCTGTAGAAAATCAACCGCGCAATCGAAAAACTTGAAATTTGGTCACCCAGTATATTTGATGATGCTCTCTTGAATTATGCTATTGAAAGTGCACCTCAACTTCCTTATTTGAATAGGGACACCCTGTATATTATTCCATATTGAATTAGAATTCATTATTACAAAATCAACAATGCCAGGTTTGATGGAATTTTTTCAAACGACTACGAAGGCAAAAAATAAAACGATTCATTGAAAAATTTATATGATTTGATTTCATCAATATAACGCGATTGAAAATCGAAGGAAAAGGAGATAATTGAAATCTAATATCCACCAATTGTGTCGATGGTGATAACAACTGGCCAGCTCGGTTGCCAGACCTCACCCCACTTGATTTTCATTTGTGGGGCTACTTGGAACAACAGGTTTATGAGTCACCAATTATGAATATGGAAAAAATGAAAGAGGAAATCACAAATTTATGCACACAAATTGATCGCAACGTGATACATAGGGTCACAATGAACGTTATTAAAAAAGCTAGGAAATGTTTGCAGCAGAATGGACGACATATTGAGCAGTTGGGGAATTGATTATTTTGTTATCATTCGATTTCAATCGTGTTATATTGATACAATCTAATCATATACATATTCAAATAGGAGAGTTGAGGTGCACTTCGGTGTGACCCTGTATACCTACGATTCATTCAATAGCATAATTCGAGTGAGCATCATCAAATATACTGGGTGACCAAATTTCAAGTCATTCGATCGCGCGGTTGATTTTTCACAGGGAGGGACATTTTAGCTGGGACACGGTGTATAAAATTCAAAGTCTAGCAATAACCAACCAGATGGAAAACTATTTCAGTATTTTGATCTATAAATATCGAGGTAACATAATCATTAAATTATAAGTTATATTAGGTCAGTTATTACAGTCAAACATTTTGTCAATTTTCATTGAAGGTATCCTTAGATCATTTTTGGTGGAGTCACATGTGGAAACAATGGTTAATAAAACTCAGCCAGAGAATATGGATGTACTCAAACTGATATATTTCTCGAAAAGTAGGCAAATAACGTTTTAAAAAATGTTTCAAGAATTCTAGGATAGGCTGTACAAATCATATTCATCAAATATTGAAGCATATTTTCGAATAATTGCTTCATATACCTCTGTCAAAGATCATATTACTCGCCCTCTCTAACTTTTGTGGATCACCAACATGAATCATTGAAATAAATTATCATTCATCTGGTCGGATTGGTTTTTGTTTCCGCCTCAATTTGATGTATCTCAAGTTGCCATTTGGAATTTTATAAAGTAGAGGTGTCGGGGGTTTGAGGGAATGATAATATATAGCATTCAATAAATACTAGTATTTTAATTCCTCCTCAATATCTGAATCAACCTATTTTTTTTCCATGATTGTTATCATCGCACATCATAAGATATGCTAAGTGGTGAGTTCTGAAATCAGAGCTCTGTACTATGAATCAAGGAAATCGCATATTTTGTAACTTTCTCAACTGAAACTGAATTTAAAAATTTTATTCTGCAATGAGGAATTAGTTAAATAATCAACAATATTCCAAATTGTGCTACCTTAATCCTCATCATAACATTTTTAACAATCAGGCATTTGATGAAATGTTGCCGCATATCATCGAGTTCAACCCGTTTCTATAAAGAGCACCGTACCATGTTCTTGACTTACATAACATACCTCTCAATTCACAATTTCTTGCGCTACTGCTGCTGCTGTTTCATATTCCACTTCAGCTGTGTTCAAAGCAACATAGTATCTACTGCTCTTCAAAGAACCAAGATACTGATTTTTTTCGACGGCTATAACACAAAATTGCTCTCGTTTTACTATGTTTGATATCACAATGACTTCATTTTGTTATTATTTCACAAAGTCTCATTTCTCATGGAATATAAAATTTCAAGAAATGACATCAACTCTGTCTAATAGATCCGCATCACTTGAGAGAAAATCAAGCCCAAGAAATATAGAAATTCGCTCTTATCTGTTCCACTCGTAGAAAAAGTATAGTGTATAACTCGCGAGGAATGCTGATTTCCCACAAGTATGATTTGTGTCCTTAGGGAGAATGACAATCATTCCGTGGTCGTTACACAATATACTATTTCACTATGAAGTATAATATTTCCACTGGCATTTGTCTTACAGTATTGTCAGCAGCCCAATTCGCATCGGAGAATGATTCCAGTGATTCCAGACGAATAGGATTATTGTATCCGATTTTAGATATCGAAGTATTATTGTTACGGCTTTCCAAATCTTTGATGAGGACTTGTCAAGTACTCGTCTAAAAAAATATCTGGTTTAATCTGGCAAACCAAGGGCTGTTCTGTTTATCCTGATTTGGCTGTGATAGACAATAATTATCAATCAAGAATTGATTGATTCAATTATGGTTATAGGACACCCTATCCTTTGTATACCCAAG